ATTCTGATCCCGGGTCAAACCGCTGAACATCATACTGAGGACACATACCGCTGGCGGAAGACCTCGAGAGCTTGAAGCACTTTGTGCATCGACTGCCTCACGTTGAGGCTCTTGCGAATGCGTCACTTCGTGCGACAGTGGAGCTCCAGGCGCCGTTGAGATCAAAATCGTTGCACTCCGTGCTCAAAGTCAGTTGCTGGTCCAGCTTTTGGGCGGTCAAGCGCCGGTGAGCGCCGCTTCCGGCGCCAATGCTTCCGCGTTCATTTGCGTCGAATCCCGATATGACTTAAGCAGGCCCACCTAAGACACCAGGTATGTGTGCATCCTTCTCGAAAGGTTTAGCGTATACGCAAGGCCTCGCTTGGCCACGACCTTAAAAGGCCGATAAACGTTGGATGGAGCTTCGTCTTAAAGACAGCATAATTTGCCTGTGTAGGATAGGTTTTAGCATTTAGTAAAAACAGGTCTCCGATCTCAAATTTCTCCAAATTTCTTCTGCATCGTCCTTCTGCATATCCGCTCCGCACATCTTGGCTTTCAGTCATCGCATCGCGAACTTGTCGTAAGACACTCAGTCTGGTAGACAGAAAGTCTTCGACTTCTTTACGCACAGTGAGGGGCTGACATCAGCTAGCCGTTCGGCTTTTACTGCCTTACCAAGCTCTATGCCATGGAATGGTGGCGTCAGCGGGACGCGAGGATGAACAAGTCCTCTCATGTAGAGCGACGTATAGCCGTTAGACGCATGCACTGAATTGTTCAGAGCGAACTCCACAAGTGGCAGAATGGCGCTCCTGCGCTTCGGAGTTTCAGCGCAGACGCTGCGAAGAACGTCTACAACGCGCGAATTCTCGCGCTCAGTTCGACCATCAGTCTGCGGATGGTCCGCTGTTGCCCAGCACCTAAAGATTGTCGACCAAAACTTCCCCGAGAATTGTGGGTCTCGGTCAGAGACAATTGACTTCGGGAGTCCATACTGTCGAAAGACACAATCCACAAACAGTGTTGCTGTACCGACACCGTCGATGGTGCCCGGCAGCGCCGCAAAATGAGCCATCTTGCTCAAACGGTCGACAAAGACCACGACACACTTGTTGCCCGCCGAGTCTTTCGGCAGGCCAAACACAAAGTCCATACGCATGGGTTGCCAGCACCCGGAGGGTACCGGTAAGCTGACCAGCGGTGCCGCCGCATTCGGAAAAGGTTTCACGCTTTGACACGTCTCACACGTGCGCACATATTGGCCCGTTCCATTTGTACAGCTTGGACCACGGTAATGGTGTACAACGCGCACGTCCACCTCCTGGTGGCTCCATTGTAAGTTATACAACGATGAAAGTTTCCAGTACCGCTGCACCCATCGCTTAAAGAGGTCTTCATCATCTGTAGCGGTCTTGCCAGGGTCGAGCACCATAGAAATTGTCCGCATCGCGGATACAGGAGCGCCTTCACTTTGAGCGCGAAGTCAAGCGCGGTACATATCCATTGGGATTTCTTGGGGGACAAAGAAGCGGGCTCGGAGAGTTTTTCATTGGTCAAGCTCAGCTTGTGTAGTGGACGAGGGCCCGACCACGTTGACGCCGAACGATCGAGTGATCACGTCATTCGCTTCAATAGCGGGATACGCCGAGCGGAAGCCGTATTCCACCCGAGGGTCTAGGGCCGGTCGTGGATGTGCGCGCATAGAAGTTCTGCAGGTAGCCCCCAGCTGCTGCTCCTGTGCCTCGTCGAGGCGATTGGTAAAAATACCACTTCTCCCGAAAGTTGAGAGGTCAAGAAACGGGCATGATGTCCGCAAGGTTCGCGCAGGGCTCACGTCACGCCACTGGCGCACCTCACCTTCCTCCCATACTGGGAAATGAGTATCCGACTCGTAGTCGACTTCCACAAAATCCTTGACGCGGTAATTTGTCGCCCGTAGTGGGAGCGGTGTGCGATGATCGGTTGCCGAGGGCTTGAATGCACATCCCGTGAAGCTGCGAACGTACTGTCCGAAGTTGTAGCGCGGAAGAATGGCTCTACACGCGTGCACTTTCATGGCCAGCGAGGCTGGGTGTCTTTCGTGTCCCAGGGCTCATTGAGCAGAGAATGCGTGAAGTAGGTTCCGAGGACGTAAAGGTGTCTTAGACACGCGAGCCTCGTATGAGGCGACAGTTAAATGTGAACTGTGGGTATTCACAATTTTGATGTGGGAGAGTGTAACGAGGTTACACGTACCCTGGTATGAAGGGGTGAATCACACATGATGGTTTGACAACACTATGGTGTGGCTGCACCTTAACAAGAAGCCACTATGTGGCGAAATTGCCAGTACTTGTGCATTTTAATTAGGTTTTACTATTTAATCAGGAAAATCTATAGATATAGATATAGGCGGCTTTGCCGCAAATAAAACAAAAAAAGTACAGTTTATATTTTAAAATAATTGTTTATCTGAATTGTTTATTTGAGTTGTTTATTTGCCCTGGGTAAAGATTATGGGTACTCTTGGAGCTGGCGGATTGCGATCCGCTACTCTCTTATAAAGAACGTAAGGCTGGTGACCTTAGTTCCCTCTAAGCAAAAGAGCGGCGGCAGCCCCGCTGCAGAAGTTGTTGATGATGTCACACTGCGAAATTTTTGGCTATTGTACGGTATTTCATCTTACGATAGTGCTGATTTATCATCATTGACATATCGTGACAGAGGCAAATCATTCTCCATATATTAAAGCCCTTACTACTAGCTGTTTCATTTTTCTTAAACTTTACCGGGGCTATTACAAGGAGGTTGTGATACCTGATCGCTTTCAATTTCCACCGAACCTGACACAAGGGCAAAAGCACATAAAACATACCGTTCCGCTAGAGATACACTTCGGCGATCACGAAATACTGTCGTCGTTTCTTGTATCAATGGAGACACAACTGGATCCCGCGGTTTGAAATCGTTCACTCCTGTTTTCTTCTGAGACCGCGGATCTTTTGACTTCTGCGACATGGCTGAGTATTGCTTTTGCCGCGCTCGTTGAGTCTACATTCCCAGCACGCTCGCGATAAGGAGGATGTGCTTAACGCTGATAGCAATTTCTCAATAAAAGGCTGTCGGAGGCGAAAACTCGTCGTGCGCGCCAAACCGGTTCGGTGATTTACTGACGGTGGTGACCGTTACAGCTTTTAGAGGAGGGTCAGACGCCATTGCGGCGATGAAATTTCTTAGTATCAGAACAAACTCCATCACTTTTTGCCTTGCTTGATGAATAGAAGAGGATTTGAACGTACCGTATATATCTTGTTAGGCGGTGCGTGCACCCGCAACAACCGCCACTTCATATCGCCCCACGCTGATTTCGCTTCTTCGTCCAAACCCATTCACTCGCAACCTACCAGCTTAGAGATGGCAAGCGCGACGTGCATTCGCTTCGTTTAGACAGCTGCCGAATCTATGACCATCTCTATTTCTCCCGTCCGGATAAACGTTTTGTCCTGGCCTTCAACGTTTGGGTGATCAAGACCAGTAGCCTCGCAATGGAAAATATCTTATCCCCCTCCTGCTGACAATTGAAAGGCTTCTCAATTTGCCTCAGCACCGCATTTGCAAAGATAGTGAGCGCTCCCCAACAAATAATTACTGCACCCAGTCCTTCGACAGCTTGTTCCCTGATCCAGTCATCAATTTGGTAAGTCGGTCTATTTGTCCAGGGGATATGCACTACAGTCTCTCACAACCTGAGATTGGCTACTACCGCTACCAAGTCCGACAGTTTGTATGATAGATCTTGCACAGACAAAGCCATGGCTCTGGAAGCCCGCTTTAGCAAAAGTACATAGGCTAAATCTTTGCTCTTCCACCGAAAGCAAAGCCGAAAGCGTATCAGGTAACCGTGCCCATCTTAGTTCGCTCTTCTTTTCCAGGATAAAGCTATTTATATTTATTTCATCGAGACTCACATTAAATGTAGACAAATCATTCACCCATGATAAAAGCGTCGTTTTTGGTTAACGTGCGGCTTCCGTGTACCACAGGCCACATTTCTCAATTTGCCGGCTACTACGCAAGTCAAATCCCTAGAAGTACTCCCCAATCCCCAGCCATCCACTCCAGTTGCTACTCCCCTTTTCTGAAGATGAAATATCCAGCTGCTCCCGCCTCCCCATCCCCCGCCGACCAGCCCCTCGCGCTGTGATTGGCTTGACTCCTGGGTCCGCACCCAGTATCAAGTCCGATACCACCTTCGACCCATCTTGCTCGGATTCCTACGCCGGCTCCGGACCTCTAACTAGCTCTCTGCCAGCCACTCATCATACCATGCTGTT